GGGAGGCGGAGCTTGCAGTGAGCTGAGATCCGGCCACTGCACTCCAGCCTGGGCGACAGAGCGAGGCTCCGTCTCAAAAAAAAAAAAACAAAAAAAACCCACAAACTTACAAGTGTTTTGAAGGAATTGACCTCTTCCCTAAAATGCACCTTTCCACTCTGAGCAGCAGCTCTAATGTACTGTATTTCCTTGACACCATCACTAAGTATGAGCCACATCATCAATTTGATAGCAGATTTGTAAAAACCAAACCAAAACATTACATTACATCCAGAATGTGATGATTCTTCCAAATCACTTTCAGCCATTGGCAGCAATCACAGTGACAGGCTGTCTACTCCCACTCCTGCTCCCCAGGCTTAAGCTATCAGAAAATCTGTTCTCTAATATATTTGGAAGTTCTAAGGTCAAACAAGTTTCAGGGCTGCTTGATTCAGCTGCTCATCCATGTCCTCAAGGTCCCAGCTTGTGTTCATCTCGGCTTTGTGGTCGTGACTGTACTGGTTTCACCTCCAGGCTCCTGGCACACGGATGCAACAGTTTTGGTATCACATCCAAACACAGCAATGTCCAGATATCCAAAGAGATTCTCAGTCTTTTTCATAGGAAGGAGGGACCTTCCTAGAAGCCCCATAGCTTTTTTCCTTTCTCATTGGAAAAACACGGTCACTAGTTCACTCTGAAACCAATTTCTGACATGGGGTGGGGGCCACTATAATTATTTAAGGCCAAACAGAATGTACCCTCAGGTGGTGGTGGTGGTTTTTGTCATAATTGCAGATCTTGGACCTCCAAAATAAATGTGAAGCACAACAAAGAATACTTGCCTATTAGTTAGATTGCTTAATTTAAATTCTCAGTTTTGTTGAATTAGTATTATTGGAAATTAAACTGCCTTTTGAAAGTTAGATGGGAGCTTCTGACACATAGACGCTCAGCATCTCAGGGATAAATCTTCATAAAAGGAATAAACTGGTCACTCCAATTTCTCCTAGCTTTGAAAGTTGTAGAGTCTATTCTGGAGGACTATTTAATGAAGCAGTTTTGAATGCAACAGGAAAAGTTCCATGTAACAAAGTTTTCTGTTTCACTGCTTCATCATAATGTAATTTTTTTATTTTTATTTTTTATTTGTACAGACTTGGGGTGTACATTTACAGGTTTGTTACAAGGATATACTTCATAATGGTGAGGTTTGGGTTTCTATTAATAGATTTTTCTAATGGCAAAACTTGTTTTTGTGTTAGTCGGTGGCTCAATTGATCATCTAGGATTAGATACACATGTTAACACCAGTCTCAGTTACAGGGCTGGCAGTAAACCTGATTGGTATCTATGCTCATAACAATACCTGTTGAGCTTCTCAATGAAGATGTCACTCATCTGATCATAGCCATCTGCATCTTATACACGGACACCATGACTGTGAAACAGTCACAGCCATTAATGAGGCATGAATGCTAGAAGAAAGATGTATTTCCATATGTTTTGGCAGACACACTTGGCAATGTGGGTGTGATCATATCCATTACGCTCACAGAGCAGTGTGGGTGG